CCATCAAGATTTCATTAATGAGGAATTTTAATATAATACCGAGGACGGAGTGTGAATGTCAGAACGTATATTTGTTCCACCACAATTACACCCCTATCTACACTTACATCTACACGCAAACCCAGACTGATACCACATCTCCACTCAACATGAACGAAAAAAACTCTCTCAAACATCAGATATTATCGATATTAAGATGGAAGGAGAGAATCGTGTTGTGAAAAACCTGGACAGAACTCGCGTGATCATCTAGTCTATTTTGTTATTTGGAATGGTTTTCAATGAATTGGAATTAGCGGATTCGAAGTAACTTGTGTCTGTCGATCATTTTTTTCATCCTGAATAATCTAAACAAATGTTCTAAATTTATATTTCCAGTAGCGTTATTACTTTTTTGTTTCATTTCTTCATCCATAAAGACATCTCAGTAGAAAAGATTATCGTAAAACAAAGACTCGTCTAGGTCACAACGGGATATTTTATTAATATGTTTCTGTATATATGCTGAAATATATGATACTACTGTCCGTCCAAAAAGTCCGTGCGTGTGACTAGTTTTTGAATAATTTTTGATAGGAATAAGATACAGACCTGCGGTTTTCGGCGTTCGACTACCAAGGCGAAGAGCCATCTTTTCATTACGAAAAACTTTTCTGAGGAACAATTTCGAAGTCAGTTTATCGCAGGATCTTTGAAAAGTTAGATTGTATCTCTCAAAACTTGCATGGAAACCTATTGATTTTTTTACATATTTGGAATCTCCACTAAAAACTGAGTCAACTCATATATGTTTCGAATCGTTTTGCGACACTTTTTTTTCATCGAAAACCTCTGTCCTACAGTCTCATCAATAAATAAAGTTCGTCAAAACGTCGTTTCTATCGTTTAATCCTGCACCATTTTGTGTTATAATAGCATTTTACAACTTCTGAAGTTGCTTTCCATTGCCCAAGTGATCTTTTGACTAACTTTATTTATTGATGAGACTGTAGGACAGAGGTTTTCGATGAAAAAAAAGTGTCGCAAAACGATTCGAAACATAAATGAGTTGACTCAGTTTTTAGTGGAGATTCCAAATATGTAAAAAAATCAATAGGTTTCCATGCAAATTTTGAGAGATACAATCTAACTTTTCAAAGATCCTGCGATAAACTGACTTCGAAATTGTTCCTCAGAAAAGTTTTTCGTAATGAAAAGATGGCTCTTCGCCTTGGTAGTCGAACGCCGAAAACCGCAGGTCTGTATCTTGTTCCTATCAAAAATTATTCAGAAACTAGTCACACGCACGGACTTTTTGGACGGCCATTAATTTCCTTTCTTCTTTTATATTGTACGCTTTCGTTACGTATGATGTGCCTTAACAAGCACAAATCATTTGCTAAGAAGGATCACTGGCTTCAATTAGAAAATGATTCTAGTATCTCTTGATAACCGATCAACGAAGTTAATTAATAGACAGACTCTCTGTTGTGTGAGAGATGATAAATCATTTTTTATTACCTAAATCAATAGTTGTAGAACAAAAAAAAATCACACACAACAACAATAACAACACGTAACATGAGAGATGAAAAAGAGAAAAGTAAACGTTCAGTTATTAATGATTTATAACTTCAACTTTTGTAAATATTCATCAATATGATAATCATCTGTTTTTTCATTTTTTAATGTATGTATTATTATATTATTTAAATCATCGACGGATAATATTTCTCTATTTTCTTCTAAAAAAACAAGTGTTTTAATAATATTTTTATCCTTAAATAATTTCATCGCATATTCATAAGTTGGTAGAATATCCCACGTCATATTATCTTCAATTGCTTTTTTAATAATTGATGTATAATGTTGAAAATAAGGTTTTAATAATAATATACATTTTAAAAATGAAATTCCATCATCAGTATAATACAATGATATTTTTTCACTATTTGATCCTAAAATTTTTAATATACCATTTGATGCTGTAGATAAACAACCTTGATAATAACTTGGAGTTTTTGGTTGTACAGCACTACTGTAATCGATGATATATACCATATTTTCATACATAATCATATTTCCAATTCGAATATCGCTATGTATATAACCAATTTTATGACCTAAAAGCAAAAAGATGTTATTAATCTTTAACAACCATCAAAATATATTTAAAAAAAAATAAACGTCATAGGATGTAAAATATTTAAAGAAGGTCTCGTCATTGAATCTTTTTTAGTCTGTTAAAAACTATCAATACAGAAGTGAGCATAAGACGACTTTACCTGTCCTGTCCTGATGTTCTGTCACTCGTTGTCCTGCTAAGCTTTAGGACAGGACGAAAAATAACTTCCCATCCTATCTTACGCGGAAGCACAGACATTAAACTCAGCAAAGACAATTAGTGATTTCTTTTCAATAACATACATGTTTTAGTAAAAAAATGCATATGAAACAAGTCGCGAAAGTTAACTATTCCATCATCATCATTATTATATTTACACAGTAGGTAATACAACAATAGTCAAAGTGGTTAAACAATGAATAAGATGTATCAATAACGTCAGCGTTACAGGTAAAAAAGTATTACACACAAAAAATAAAACAAATATTCATTAAAAAAATCTTTCATACGGTTATATGTATTGTGCTAGTAAAATATTATCTAACTGTTTTAAATTGATGTTAGTTCGTCTTTCATGTATAAGTGATTCGGTTCCGGAAAATTGTCTTTCGACTTCTGGCTAAAGCCATTCCGGTCCAAACCTGTTAGATACGGACTCACAACTGAACAGCAGTCTTAATCATTTTAATTAAGAATTTTTTAAATTAATCTGATAGTCGTTCCGCAAATACACGATGCTTTTTTCGGTCATTTTTATTGGCGACTAGCACAACATATACAGTTCTCAGGCAATATTGCCGATAGACTCACAATAATCAAGTCACGATTGGTTCTTATTCTTAAATAGAACCCGTTCAGTCTAAAATTTTCGAACTAGAGCCCAAACTCGGCCAACATCAAATTTTAGAATCCGACCCGAACAAGAGAGAATTTTTGAATTTCGAATCCGGACCGGGTTCAAGATTGACCTGATGGACTCTACTCTGACACTTTTATCGACGAATGGTAAAGTTAATACAATTTATCATTTCAGTAGTACATTCACGGCTCATAGTATACATCAAGTATATCAAATGGCGATACGTACTAAGCAAAGATTGTAGAAAAAAATGACGTAATAAGAGCAGGACCAACTTATTTGTTCTGTGCTGTCCTACTGCTCCACGATCACTTGTCCTGCGCTCATCTCTGTATCAATACTCAGTTTTTGACAAACACAAATTGATTTTTATATAAATGACATATTTTCAATGATCATTTACTTACATAAATGAACTTGTTGCCAAGTATTGATTAATAATTGTGTATCATCTAAAAAACGTTGTATGAATAGTTTATCAAGTTTAACTCCACGTAAATTGAATGTAATTAAATAATCAGCATAATCATCATCAAAATTCATATCCATACATTGAATTAGATTCATATTTTTTCGTTTTATTTTGTTCATTTCTTCAATTATAAATTTTTCTTTGGTACAATTTTGTCTTGAGATTTTTAAAACAAATTTTATCAATTGTTCTTGTTGAGATTCACAATAAAACACAAACGAGGAACTACCTCGTCCCAAATAATGTAAAAATACTATTTTTTTATTTGAAAGTATATTTATAAATTTCTCATTATAACCTAATTGAGTATCTGATAAACTTAAAAATAATGTTAATATTTGTAAACCGGTAAGTTGTGTAACTGCAGCTTGTTTAATATACTTGATCTGATTTATTGTGTCATCATATAAAACCATGATTAACATTGTTTCTTCAAAATTTGTTAAGCAGCCTATGATAAATTTTCGACCAGGTGAATAACGTAATATTGAAGTGAGATAACTGGCTATTTGATCATAATCTTTCGTTTTTAATTTCCTTGTTTTTAATTCAATAATTGATTTGAAGAAAAATGGACAACTTGAATAATCATTAAGTTGTGAACCAGTAGTACAATTCCAAGACATGTCCGGTTTTAAATTGGAAAATAAATCAACAAATATTTTATTATTATATGAACACGTATCATGAATATAATTAAAATCTCGTTTGTGTAAAAAATCTTCAAATGTATGATTTATTTCATTTTCTTTTAAATTTTTATTTTCATAGTAAAATTTTTGGATACCATCGTGTAATAAATGAAAATTATCACTTTGAATTAATCTTTCTATTTCATGATCAGTTAATGACAATATTTCATGAATAAATTTACACATATAACTTCGGTTTGGAGCTGTATGACTAACACTGCTGCTAGATGTTGTTATAATTTCACTTGGAATAGAAGTTTGACTAATAAACGATGACATTTTGAATTAAATATCTACAATAAACATAATCAATAGTAGAATATCTCGTTGAAATTTATCAGTTAAACTAGAATAACTAAAATAAAAGACTAGTAGAGAATAAATAGATAAATACTATTTTGGTTATAATTTAGGAACAAAAAAAAAGAGACTTTTTATTTCTTATTTTCGCTTGAATTAATTTCAATCAAATGAAGCAATTATGATGTAAAATGAGGCGTTATTTTTTTTTTTTTATTATTATACAAAAATTGTACATTGATAAAAGAGGAGAAAAAGTATTTAATCAAGTTTATAAAGTTTAAGAGTTGATTATTTTTTCGTTCTAACAGCCATATAACAACCATTAGGAGAAATACAAATATTTCGAATATTTCTTATTTTAGTATCTTTAATTAATTTTGTTTTTTCTTGTTGATCAACTGCCCAAAGTTTATTTGTATACCAATTAACAAATAACCATCATTGATCATGCAGCAGTATAAGCATTAAAAAAAATTTATGTTGATTTTCTCCTGAATCCATTGAAATTCCACGTCTTATTCTTGTCTTATCACGTGACATTATATCTAATCGCCATTTTAAATTATCTTGTTACATTATTAATAAACAAATATATTGAGAATCACATCGAACATCACGAATTCCAATATCTTTTGTTTCACAACAACCAGATTTTGAATAACGTTTTTCCAATGTCCATTGTGATGTTGATGAAACATGATATTGATCAATATGGACACCTTTATGATAATTTACATAAATATCACGTTCAAACGGTGATATCGATGCTAAAACATATGATCGATCTGCAGGTTGAATTGCATCAACTTTAATTGGAAGATTTGGTGATGGTTTTATTGAATCATATAAATATACAGAATGAATTGTTAATATTACAAAGACAGATAATGATGGCATCCACCATATATCAACAAGAATACCTTAAAGAAAACAAAAAAAAACTATTTCTGAAATAAAATCAAAGAAAGAAACAGACCATAATCATTATCTTTCCAGTCAAGTTCAGTTAATTTTTTTATGATAATCAAATAAAATCAGTTTATGATTATCATGAAGAAGAAAATGTGTATTTGAAAGTGCTAATATTGATGAATTTATATCTCATGAATAATTTTTTATTCGTTCAGGATTGATAGTAAATGTATCAATAATATCAATCGAATTTTTTTTTTTCGTTTTTTTCACAGGTGATGTTTCTTCTTTTTTCGTTTCATCATTAATTACATCTTCTAATAAATCTTTTCCATGACTAGCTAAATTAGTTGATAAAACTGTTTTATAATTTTTATTGAAATTGATAAAATTCTTATATCAGGTACTTATACACAAATTCATTGACGATCAAACATCATATTACATTCAGATTTTATATGACATAATAAATTCTAAATTTCGAAAAAAAAAAAATCTTTTCGCTGATTCAAACGACATAAAAATAGAAATATCTTGATCCTTTGAAGGAGCAATAAGAAACTCCATAAAGTAATCATTCAATACTCAACTTTGAGGACATGAATTTGTGGCGTTTTTTCTGAAATAAGTAAGACCGATTTTACCTAGTGGAAACATCTTCTTGATAATAGTTTCTTTAAGAACTCTACTTTAATTTCTAAATGAACTCTATGCATTGGAAGAAATACCACAAACTGGAACTATCAATTTTGTTACCGAATATGCAAATATTCAAAGAGACATTTCTACTAACTAAATGTGATTATCAATGTACACTTTTATGTATTATTCGGAAGGATGAACACTCTATGATACCTATTGCTAGATGTTTTATGAAATATCTTTTAGTATTTTTCAAACGATTTTTAAACAGTCTATGGAAGTGTAAATGTGAGAATTCTTTACTCCTATTAAACTTTTCACTTTATCTCAAAGACTTAAATGCAATATTTGATGTTAGAATTCGGCGGCTTCCAGAATGTTACGTGTATCCCGAACCGCTAAGTCATCAGATAGACATAAGAAATTGAAATCAATTCTGATAAATTTTACTCTTTAAGTCTTAAAACCAAAGACGCCACACATTTAATTACTTAAATAAAACTGTTATACGTGTATACTGAAATCTGTAACGTTCAAAAAAATGAGAAAATCATGATATTTCGAAACAGGTTTGAGTTTTTTTTGTCTCTATGTGGTGATTGAACGGTTCCCGTTCCAAGTAGTTTTAAAAAAAAAGTCAGTTTCGGTTCCATTTTTTGGAACCATTGAACCCTATTTGATGTATATACATACCTGCATTTTGTCAACTTTCTCTGGATCAGGTGTTGGATCAGGTGTTGGATCATCAAGAGCTTTACTAATTCTTGGCATAATACGAATTTTAAGTTGATCAATCATTTTCTATTTGAATTTATCCGATTCAGGACAAACATCTTGAGTATAAACTTGTGCTAGATCTGCTAAACGTTGTGAATAGATTTGACCAAGATGTGCCACAGCAGCTGAATGCCATGATTCCAATTCTTGTTGACATTTTATATGAATATGAGAGAAATTCATGCTCTCTAATGTACGTAATTGTTTATTTCCAATATCAGATAATTCAAGTAATGCATCAGATGACCAATCATGTTTATTATTTTCTTTATTTTTTGAAACAAACGACATTGTTTTTCTCCTAATTTATTGGACGGCTTATTGACAGATGAGAGAAAGAAAAAAAAATGAATTACTTCTCGAAACAAAGAAACATTGTGTCATTCAACCATATTTATTTGATCAACTTTCATGGATATTAAGGGGACCCCCCCCTTTCCGGACCCAATATTTTCAAATTTTTCATTGTTTGTTTTTTCTGCTCTACATGTGTTTTCAAGTGCCCTCTATCTACTGGTAACGTTTTGAGAACTCAAATATAGCTCTAAAGCAAAAATAAAATCGAAAAGATAAATCGATTGCCGTAGGGGTATAGCACGATTTTTTCTTTCCTTCGCGGTTTTCTAGAAGCCAGATCAATGGCGGATTTAGGGGGAGGGCACTTAGGGCGATCGCCCCCATTCGAAAAAGAATTTTCGATTTTTCCCAGCAGAAAAGCCATTAAATAGGGTTCATACCAGAGCTCCGCGGGACACGGGACAAGTCCCATCCCATCCCGTCCAGAAGCGGGACGGGCGATAAAATTGAAAATTTGGTGGAACGGGATGTGACTTCTCACAGGACAAGACAGCGTGGGATGCAGGACGGGATGGGGCTCTGAAAGAAAAATTAAATGAGATGGGACAGGATAGCACAAGAAAGCGCAGGGACATGGGACGGGGTGGGACGACTTTTTTGTCGTTCTGCGGAGTTCTGGTTCATACTACTACTAATAAACTTCGAAACTCACTATCTGATCAAAATCGCTCCCTATCAAAAAAATCCTAGATCCGCCGCTGAGCCAGATTTTTCAGCAAAAATCTACAGAATCGCCCCCGTTTCTCAGGAACAGTAAATCCGATCGAGCTGAAATTTTTTCTACAGATAGTAGAAACACTTTAGGGGGCCTAATTTTTTTTGTTTTGAAAAATATTGTACCGTTGAGTTTTGGCAGGCCTTACAAGACAAGCACTATTGAAAAAAATATGGATTTTTTAGGGTGCTCTTGGTATCTTGGCTTTTTTATTCGAACGGTAAGTGATAGAAAGAAACCAAAAAAAGTAGGCCCCCTAAAGTGTCTCTACTATCTGTAGAAAAAATTACAGCCCAATCGGATTTACTGTACCTGAGAAATGGGGGCGATTTGAGCGGCGATTTTTAGCCATTGCAACCCCAATATCTCCTAGAAAGAAGCATTTGGGAATTTTGAGTCTGTGACAACTTTTACTCTACACATCGAGATCTATCAGCTGTGAAACTTTCAAATTTTTCTGATGAGCCGTTCTCGAGAAACCCCGAAAAGGGGGGGTGTCCCCTTAATGTTTTCTAAATATTAAAAAGTTGCCATGTATCTATAAAGCAGTTACTCAATTGTGCCATTTTTTTCCTGATAACGTTGTGATGTTTGACATAGGATATCTTTGTCATTGCTGATATTCAAATATTATTCATATCGATTGCTGTTTTACATTAATTTACACTTTTTTGTTTTCTTGCTTTTCTAATCCCTATCAATAGATTGAATTTCTCTATTATAAAAAATATCTCATTATATTTTATTTGAGAATGCAAATCTTTTTTCCTATTATTTTTGACGGAGAAGATAGAAAATTAGTTCGAAGAGTTGAACAAAAGATAGATTTCAACTAGGATAAATCAATATGGTCATGTTGCACTTACATGATAGAGAAGTATTTAATCATTTCTATTCTTTTTTTTTTTAACCCTTCGAAGATTTCTGGTCACTAAAACATTATGAAAGAAAATAGAAAGATTATGATATTGAGTCTGGTTGATTTTCATTCTTTATGAAGTAAATTTCAGGTATTATTTAAAAGATCGAATATAGATTAAATCTATTGAAAAACAGATGATCATGAGAATTGATGACATATGGTATTTTTTACAAAGAATACAAAATCGCTTTTTTATTTATATTTTTCATTATTATCCTATGTTCTCTTTTGACTAAAAGTGAGTTAAAAGATTCTCCTTTTTTATTCTGCATGTTACTTTAAAGTAGCAGCCTATATACATCTACGAAGATTACATGCATGTTAAGTAAACGTTTTCTTTTATCTTTAATTGCGTCCAACATATTCATATCTTCTCTCCGTTTTAATTAGTTATGAATAGTGACATAGTAATTTGTTCTTTGTCTCAAATTTTTTCTCTTATTTAATAATGAATATAGATTTTAAGTAATGTATCTAATCTATGAAAAAGTTATGTGATTGAAGTGCTTGACATTCATTTTATTTCATTTAAATATTCAATAAAAATCTTAAATATCACATCTGTTTTATGTATAGTATTCTTTTGAAAAAAAGAGTTCTTTTTTTTGTTTAGTTTGTCAAGGAATGAATGATAAGAAATGTATTCATGATTAAAAGTGATTATATTTATCCTGAAGAAAAAAAAAAACTTTTTGTAATTAAGTACACTGAGAAACATATTCAGTATTTATATTGATGAGTTAGTTTTCTGAACAGCATAAGAAGATAATGTGTCTTTTCTCATACGAATAGCATATACCTTGATCCTTATATAATTTGACTAGTGAATACATATGTCATCTTAGAAGATTCTTCAATAAACAAGAGAAAAAAAAAATTTGTCTTCTATCTTTATCACTAATTAAATATTATCTTCATGTCAATGGAAATCTATTAAACGTAAGCTTATCAGAGAACACAGTAATTATTTTATAATTAAAATACAACACTTTATTCTATTGAGTCAGTTTTTGTAGACATCATTTGTTTTTGTTTCGTTTGTTATTATGATATAAAAATTTTTTTTTTGTATCTGAATAACTGCGTTCTAACGAGGGGACCGATGCAACTGATAAATCGCTTTTGAGTTCAGACTCTGTGCATAAGATAGACCCTCGTGAGGTATGAGAAACCCTGAAAGGACAAGTGCCCATAGGCCTTCTGTCCAGAGTTCTAGGCATTTTATTGGAATTTTAGCCTATGACACGGTATATACCAATAAATCGAATGACGGTATTTCGAGCTGAGATTTTGCCCACAGAGGGGTCTATTTGTTAGTAGTATATCCTAAAAATTTCAGCTCAAAAGAACATTTTTCTCCCGAGATATTGCAGCCTCAAAAATCGCGCATATCCCACAAAGTCGCTAGAATTTCCTACTTTTTGGAACTTTAATATCTTGGGAAGGAAACACTCTTTTGAACTGAAATTTTCAGGACATTCTACTCACAAATAGGCCCCTCTGTGAGCAAAATCTCAGCTCGAAATACCGTCATTCGATTTATTGGTATGCACCATGTCATAGGCTAAAATTCCAATAAAATGCCTAGAACTCTGGACAGAAGGCCTATGGGCACTTGTCCTTTCAGGGTTTCTCATACCTCACGGAGGTCTATCTTATGCACAGAGTCGGAACTCAAAAGCGATTTATCAGTTGTATCGGTTCCCTCGTAAGATATTCTTTTTTTTTTTTACATTATAAAATCCTTTGCGCATGATGTTGTCCATTAATTTGAGCTATCATTATCTTTAAATCTGTTTTCTTCCTCATTCACTTCGGTGTTGTTGGCCTTTTTCCACACCTCATTCATTTTTTTTCTTCCTTAAAGAGAATATATGGTGAGAAACATGTTCTCATGCTATAAGAATGATGCATATAGATCTCATGTTACTAGTTTCTGGTTTGTATGTTTCATTTTTTTTAAGTGATTATATTTAGGTAAACAATTTTGAAAAGATATCTTTTTTTAATTAGAATATATATTAAACATTTCATAAACTTGTTCGAAATTTAAATTGATATCTGTCCATTTATAATAATTTTTAAGAATAATCATGATAGAAATCTGTTTAAATAGATGTCATTTACTTCAAGAAATATTTCCTTTGCTTTTTTTTTTATTTCATTTATTTCTGTCTTCTTCAGATGTCCTAAAAATAAGAACTGTTTATTTCGATAAGTGTTGCAAAAGTACTTTAAGAAAATGACGTACTTTTTTTCTACTATAGTTTCAGTAGAGTTTAAGATGTTTTTTCCTCTCACTCGAACAATAATGCAAATTACATATTCTTTATATATTTCTAAAGGCAGATGAAAATAGAAACAATATATTGCACACTGGTGAGTGTCGTTTTATTAAAATATAGTTTCTGACTAAAAGAAAAAAATCGCAGTGAGTAAATAAAATAAAAAATTGCTGTATTATTTTAATTTTAAATATTTTTTCGTAAAATTATTTTGTGCTAAAGTTAAGCTATGAATTAATCTTCTTAAATTATTATAAATATTTATAATATACATAATTGGACTTATTAGAAAGTGGTATGAAAACAAAATATCCACGAAATTTCCTTTAGCTGTAAGACGCGCTTTATTAAACTTGTCTGTTGAAAATGAATTTAATAATTATTAGAACACTAGAAATTTTAAATAAAAGAAAAGCTTTTCTACCGAAATGTCTTACTTCTCATTTCTCCGTATCGTACAAGAATTTCTTCAAGATATTTAATATTTCGACAAAAAAAAAATGTCTTTCCTGTCAAAAACTTTGCCGTTAAGAGTATTCATAAATTAATCTTTGTTCAGGGGTTTTGCTGCAAATGTAACATGAAGATGTGCTTAATATTCTAATGAGTATTTCTAAACATTTTCTTTCATTTGTAGAGAAATTTCAGAATATTTTCACATGTAATTATTTCTCTATTTTAGTAAACTATATACGATAGATATTAAAAATTTTTCAAAAATCTTATCAATCTAAATAATTTTAATTATGAATCTAAACCATTCAGAATTCAAAGATCAACTTCCATCTCCATTGATTTGTCGTATATGTGGCGATGTAGCACGTGGTCTAAATTTTTCAGTTATTTCATGTATGTCATGTAAAATGTTTTTTCGACGACATGCACTATTATCACTAGTGAGATAATTATAGAATAACAAAAACAAAAAAAAAGATCCTTTGAAATATTATTTATTTAGCTAAAACAACAGTGTCATTTTGATGGTAATTGTAGTATAACACGAAAAACACGA